TCGGTTTTTTGCCCACCCCTAGCTACAGCCCGTCCCATCAGCCCAAATCCTAAGTAAAAAAAATTAGTAAAAAATATTTTTTATATGTAATTTTTTTTTTTTTTCGCATTTTAGCTAGTGTCCAATTTTTTTTTTTTGGATTTGCCCATGGTAACTAGTGAGTGGGTGTGCATTCTTGACATCATTATGTGAATGAACATGTAGACTAGTTGCTCTTGTCCTTATCAGATAGCCATTTGGTTGCGTGTTGGATAGAACTTTTTTGATGTTAGGTTACTTGAGTAAACATTCACGTGTCGATCTAGCTTTTTTATTGTGACTATCCACAAGATCTTAGTGATCGAACTTTTGATGAATAATTATATTGCTAAGCACGAATTCAAACCTTTTTAAAAAAAATCTAACATCAGTGTAACATACAGTATTTTGGAAGGAAGTGAATCGTAAACAGATTAAACTCGTCGAACGTGGAATGTTGAGCTGAGCCTGATTGAGTTTACATTTGGTCCTAACTTTAACTTGTACTTGTCAGTTTGTCATGTTAGCTTAGAATATTAAATAGAGAGACTGAATCAAATAGGATTAAATTGTCGCGTGAGAAAATAATGTGTGTCCTACTTTGAAATGTTCCATTAGATTGTCAAATTGGAAATAAGACAAGTTCCAATTTTAACCCACAAAGAGCGCGTCGTATAAGGCTCCGTTCGATTGCACCTCAATTTCATGAAAGATAAAAATTAAATTTCATTTTTCACATTTTTACATGTTTGATTGTCCAAATTTTTCATGAAATTGGCTTTTCCTTGCACCCAGTTGGTGGAAAAGTTTTCCTAGACAAATTTTTTTTTTTATTTACAATGAAAACAAATTTTATCTCCCGTTGTAACAAATTCTATCTATTTAATGAACAACTTTTATGGATAACAAAATCAAAACGAAGATCAAAAGAACCAAGATTTCAATATTTGTAAGTTGAAAAATTATCCCAAATATAAGTAATTGACAATTTCTCTAGGCAGCTGAATTCTTGAAATTCATTTTTTTCCACCCAAATTCCATTATTGGAATCAAACGAACCCTTACTGGATCTTTCTCTCTCTCCCCTACCGATCAATTTTACGCACAACGACGTCGAACGGTCGAGCGTCGTCGATTTTCCTGTAGCACCTGTGATTTCGGGTAACTTCTTTGTTTTTTTGAAAAAAAAAAATTGGTTTTTTTTAATTGTTTTCTATTTTCTGAAAAATGCACGTTATGAGGCTTTCATAGTGTTAATTCACTCTATTTTTATCTACAGGAGTCAAATTACTAACCGGTTTACTGTTTAAAGAACTGAATGAGAATTGTATTGCAAGTAAAAGTTGCGATCTTTAAATTATGTGAAGTAAGTTGTTCAAAAACCTCTGTTTAATTTTGGTTCATTTGTTTAGATTAAGAATCGAGCTCGAGTTTAAAGTGATATGAGTCTTATTTGATACTTGGTATCACTTTTAGCTCGCATGAGCTTGAAAATATTAGATAAACCGTTGTAATTATGTAAAATGGAATGGGATTTCTCTGTGAATATTGCGCATTTAATGGTTCATGATGTTAAGCGTGGGCCGAAAAATTGCAGAGTAGAGTTTGAACACTTAATGCTTGACTAAGGTGGCTTGTTCTGCCTTACTCATTAGTTCCCCTCCCCCTCTTTTGGCATGTTGAGGCTGCAGGTTGGGAGGATTATGTTCATTTCTAAATTTTATTGGCTAGGAGCTCATGCAATCAGGAGTCTGGTAAAAGGTATTTTCTTTATATTTTTGGTATAATTTTTTGTTTACTAATTGAGAATTAGAAATTTCTATATCACTTATGTTATGCTTAGAAAGTTGTGCAAAAAGGCCACACTAGTGGGGAATTCAGTCCCGACCAAAATGACAGATACAAAGGAGTACTATCAATGTTCGTTTTAGCTTGTCTTAGTTCATGTTCATTATTTAGAAAAAAAAAAAGCAGGGGATGTGCTGATAAATGATTTCTACTCCTTCGATGTCACTCACAGATGCATAAGTAGCAGTCTCAATCTTCCTCTATTGATCGAACTTATATGTGAAGGAAAATCTATCTGACACTGAATGACACTGGTCACATAACTTGTCACTTTGCTGGACTTCATGTGTGGGGTAGGTGTTTAGATGTGTTGGGTTTCTCTTAATGAATGAGACAATGGAGACGCTAGCAGTGAGAAAGAAGGGGAGAAGCTTTAGGGAGAGATGCTTTCCTGGTATCCCTTCAGATAATTATTTCTTGTAACATTCCTAAAGATTGCAAAATGTGAAATTGATTTTTCTCACTACCTTTCTGCAGAAAAGCAAGACCTATTCATGATATTTTCAACCGGAGTTAATGCTGAACTTTTTAGTTGAGGAACTTTATTCCTTCAGTGTGCTTATTGCCTTCTGTTGCGTTGCAGCTCCATCTTTTACGCCAAGGACACCATACCTTTCTCTGGTTCATAATCATTA